TATGGTAGAATAGGGAAAACACCTCCTTTAAGAAAACTGGTCCTTTTGTGTCCTATTTTAAATATCCCTCAAAGCAAGAGTGTTGAATATTTGGGTGGGGTGGTATTTTTAGGAAATATGGAGATAAAGTATGGGTCTTTAAATATTTTTGTCTTACACTTCGGATGAATAATTCTTAAAATAATTCTGATTTTCCTAGAAACCATTTCCCTGATTTGAATACTTACTGCACAGAATAGTATAAGGAGTAATTATTCTAATTCTATAATATTATTACTATTTTAACCAACATTACTCAGGTTTCACAATCATAAATAAATTTCCAAATACCCTACTAGCCCAAATACAATGAATGTGGTGTTATTCAGGTGTTTCTGACCCTTTGTGAGCCAATGGACATCATTTTTCTAGGATTCTTTATCAATAATTATGCCTTTGAATTCTAGCTGATTCATATATTCCTTATGTACATATGTAATACAATTTATTATGTAACTTTTTATTTATGTAACTTTTCCAGTAATGCCTAAACAAGGCCCATAGATATGAGAACTTCTAAATTAAATTGGCCAAAAGATTGAGGGGTCATTGGTGCTCTCTGAGCTTGATAGTTTTCTTGCAGACATTTCATTACCCAAACAAGATAACATCATCAGTGCTAGTTAAGGAGTGGGATTTGCTCTCAATTTAGATTCTAGTGTTTGGGCAGGATTAGGGTAGTGCATCTATCCTTGCCCTATTTTACCTCTCAATGGTTTTTGATAGTATTGACCATGATATTCTTCTGGATTGGCTCAGAGAATTGAGAGTGGGCAGTATAGTGTTGTGCTGGTCTGCTTCCTTCACTCAAGGCCAATGCCAGTCCACAGATTGATACTATATATTGTTTACGTCTTGATAGTTTTGTCTCTCTCTCTCTCTCTCTCTCTCACACACACACACACACACACACATGCAGAGAGAGAGAGAGAGAGAGAGAAATCATATTTGGCACAGAGTTCTGTTCCTTGTTCTTATGGCATGATAATAGATTGAAAATGATAGCTGGATAAATGTCAGATATTGTTAACAGGATTGCTGGTGATGAGGGACCATGGGTTCTGTGTCACACATCTCAGGCATATTGAAAACTTTTAAAATGCTGTATATGTACCTACAAGGAAGCAGTTTTCTTTTAAGTATGTAGCTTGTGTGTTAAGGGGATAGTTGCCTTTTAACATTGGGTGTTAATGGAAGCTCACTGACTGGAAGAGGGTCCATTGATTGGAACAAGGAACAGGAGGAAGGTTGCTTTTTTTCTCTTCCAATTATTACACCAAAATTAAATTAACCTGCTGAAAGAGAAAATCTTATACTTTTTACTTTCGTAGAAGTTCAACAATGTATGTTCTAGTCTAAAAACACCTCTGAAATAAATTAACAGGGACTGGTAACAATTTGATGAAGGAGAAAAAAAATTCAAAATATATTAACTAACATGGCAGATTATTTTCTAGCGAAAAGGATGTCAAGCTTTTTCATTTTCTTTCTTTTTTTTTTCTGTGGATGGGTGGGTAGTGGCTTTGAATGAAGCCTTTTGGCAAGTGGCCATATTTGAACAAAAGGAAGAGCACAGCTGTTGTAAATCAATGGATTTTTTTTTAGATTTAAATGCTGCAGAGCTTGCATGTTCAGGATGCATAATAGCATTTATCAAAGAGAGAAGATCAGAGCTGTTACTTTTACCAAAATGAACTGTGCACTTGGACCTTAAAAACCTGCTAAAACGACTCTACGTAAAAGGGCCTCAAGCTTACCTGAGCTTCATAGTGTTTTTAAATCTATGTAAATCACTTTCCCCAGCCCTCCTTGAAATGCCCTTTAGAATGATGAATGTCAGAGACACCAGAATGAATTACATGTAAAAAATGTCTCAGGTTGGCTACTGACTAAAGAAATGGAGTTCCACAATATTTTGAGGTTTCACAAGGTTTTTCAGTTACAATAATCTTCTCTTCAGCTACTACTATTATTGTTCCACTTAAACTGAGAGTATTTATTTAAACATAGCTTTACTGCCTTGTCATTTCCAAGTGGTTTACAACATTATAATATTTTTATGTAATTTAAAAATGAAGTAAAGTATGGCTTTAATGGAAGGTTACAATTTTAATAACTCTCATTTGAACTATTAAAATGTAATTAATATAGAATTTGCATGACAAAAATGAGAAAATGGAATAATTTGTCTTGCTTGTTCCAAAGATGCTCTTTCAAAAGTCAACTGGATTAATATTGCTTGCACTCATCTGGTCATTAGCACTCTTTCTGAGAGTCATTGAGGCCACTTGGAAGTTTATCTGTGTCCTCAGGGTCATTTGAAGAGTGCAAATGGATGTGGAACCCTCTTGGAACTGTTCAGATTTCCGAGGATGAGGATCTTAGATGAGAAGCTAAACTTCTTCAAGGGAAGAAAACAAAAGAAGTCCAGTGGCCTTTTGAAACAGCATCTTTGAGACAACCATGACCTGAATGACTTTGAATGTCCATAGACATTTGTCTTGCTTCCAAATGTATTTGGCATGAGTAAAAAAAGCATTTCAATTTGCACAAGTTAGACTTCATATTTTTTATCTGGTCTACCTCCATTTGTAGTCTTCACATTATTAGCAAGGCTGATTGGGCAATTCAAGCCGAACATTTTTGGAATGCATGAGATTTCGGAAGGCTATACAAAATCAGTATTTCAGATACACTGGCAGCTTCAATAAAGAGACAAAAGAAAGAAATTCTAGTTTGATGAATAAATCAGTTCACAAGTTTTGGATCCAAATTGCAATATCAGCTATCAGAAAACTTGTACTTTTAAGTTAAAACTATAAACTTTTACAGTATACAGTATACATGTAGGCCAGCAAGTATATTTGTGCAGATTCTCTTATTCTCAAAAGAATGAGGATAAAGTCTAGATTTATGAGCATATCCATGTATATCTACATCTGTATAAATACCATATAGAGTCCACAAAAGTCCTTCTGGTAAGCTGTCATCACAATTTCTCATCTTTCTCCATCACTCTCCACAAAGCAAGTCATCAATTCTGGTAGAAACTGGAACTTGGATTATATTTGTTACAGTCAAGCTGAGAAAGAAATGCCTTTATCTTTTGCGATCTATTTCTATTACTGTACTGCCATAGTTGCATCCTAGTTTGTAAAGCAAACCATGGCAATGTGGATAAATGTAATTGCATCATGTTAAAATATAATATGGGTTTGGTTTGGTTTGGTGTAATGTGAAAACTATGCTGTTGGATAGATGTGCGTGAAGTCAGCCAATTGTGACTTTTTCAGATTATGACTGTGCCAGAAAAATGAGGGCTTAAGGTCAGGAAGGTGCTTAGAATGAAGCAGGAAAAAAAACTTGAAAACTTGAAAAAAAAAAAAGTGAAATTATGGAAAACTCTTCTTCTCCCTTGCTTTATATTTTCTCTTAAGTAGAATTATATTTCATTTGATTGAATTCTTTTGGAAAACATGTTTTGCTCTTTCCCAGCAGTTTCAGGAGCAAGTGCCTGATGACTCCGAAGTTCAGTCTTTCTACAATGTAAGAAACTTGCAAAGCTTTGTTCTGCTGGGAACCAGTCTGGTGCTACGGTTGCTTAGTCGTGCAATTAATTTGTGCTTTCTTTGTGTTGGTGTGTTTTCTTCACTAGTTATGAGGGTCCCCGTGACATTAGATGCTTGCAAAATTTCATGTGGTAGGGATCTGAAGTTTTTTTCTAAACCTCTGTGCGATCCACTTAATTCTGATTTTGTGCTTAGTATTGTTGCTTTGTAGAATCAAGTTGAGGGGGGGGGAAGGGAGAGAGACAGAGAGACACACACACACACAGAGAGAGAGAGAGAGAGAGAGAGAGAGAGAGAGAGAGAGAGAGAGAGAGAGAGAGAGAAGTAAAAGACATTGTCTTTTACTTGCTTTGTCCCAAAATGCTTAGAAGCTAAATTTTGAGGTGAAAGTGGCAGGTTAAAAAGAAAACAGCTTTGATGTCCATAGGCTTGTGAATATTAGAAACAATTCCAATTTAATCTCAAACCCTCTCTGGAATGTGTATTTCCAAATTTAGTTTTCCTTTTCCGTATAACTTTTTGCATCTAAGAAACAAATCTCTTGTTTCTATTGTTATTAAAGTGCATCTTAACGTGACAAATTAAACAATTATATGTTGCAATCTTGTGTATTTTTTTTTGTTTCCCCTAATTTGCACTTTATACCATGCTTACAATGGCAGGGACAATATTATATTTTAACCAGAGAATATTTTAAAAATTATGAACTTGTAATTGATGTGGTACAATTCTTTTATTGGTTTACATTAGATTCCTTGGAAGGTCCTTGGCCTTCAAGACTACCTGTGGAAGTACTTTCCTAATTTTTTAATTGTCTTACTTAAAAACTATTCTAACTACTGTTTTCTTTTTTTGAGTTCTTAATGTTTGGGAACATGACTTGAGTGATCTTTCACCTCTTGATTGTTGAAATATTCCCCAGTATGCTCTTTTTTTATTTTACTTTCACTTATTACTGCATTTCTTTGCTGCCCAATTCCCAACAACTCTGGATGGTCACAAAGCTGCTAATGTTTGTACATTTGTTACAATTTATGTTAATGCTTTTGCAAGCTTTTAGTTGAAGCAACTTGGTATTGGGATCTGTGCCTTGAAATCTCTCCTTAGCTGTAATAGTGTACTTTGTAAGTAGAAGGATTATATATTTTGAACATTCAAAATATTTGTTCTATTCATATTTTTAACCAAATCATAAATGGGAATTTAGTATTTATCTTGGAAAGACCTTCTGTAGACTTCTTTCTCTAATGCTGATCATACATGCATTATTTCTGAAGATGACATAAAACAGTTTCTTTTGAACAAATAACTTTTCTTTTGTAATTAAAATTTCTCTACTCTGGTTGTATTTTTTGTGAAAAAATGTTTACTAATGTTTAATATATTTTTCAGATCGAGAAAATAATGAGTTCCATTGGCGAAGGCATTGACTTTTCACAGGAGCAACAAAGAATGTCAGGTACTATATTGAATTGTAGACAGGTGTGAATGAGTTTTATCTCAGACAGTCACCATTATTTATGTTTGCATTCAAAAGAAAAAAAAAATGAAGGCCAATGCAATATGTTTAACCTATTTGGGGATTTTAGTTTTGCAAGCCATGTTTCTATATTTGGTGTTCTCCTATTTCCAGGGTTCCAGATAAAATATTTCAAATAACTTTCTGTGTTTCCATATTGGATAAATACCACAAGGTTTAATTTAATTTATTGAACTACGTTACTACAATCAGATATTGTATCTTGTGCTAAATACTTTGCACAACAAAAATTAAAACGTATGCACAGATGAGGGACAAAATTCTATCCAAAAGCTCAGACTGCTTCCCTGGCACTAGTTGTAATATTTAGATAGGCTACATGTTCCTGAAGTCTTGTTCCAGAAGGCTGCCAGAAGAAAAAGCTGCTTAAAGACATCTGTTTCCAGTCTTCTCTGGGACAGCTGGCTTTATTCATCCCTTACGTTCTTTTTTAGATAATTCTGGATCAGTGATTTTAAATGGAATTTCAACTGTAGCAGTTGAGATTTGCCTTTCTTTGTTTCTTCCTTTTCCCAAAAGGGAAAAACAAGGGTAAGCAAGGCTCCAAGGATCTGGCATTTGCTTCCGAAGGGGGATAAAGGGAAGACTTTCAATGGGGACTTTCAATGGGGATGGGGTGACGGTTGCCAATCAGAGAAGAGAGAGAAAATTCTGCTTGTAGAAGAAATCTTCTTCATCTGTAACTTACAAATATGGCTAGGAAAATGGAGATAAAGAGAGAGAAGTAAGGGCAAAACTTATTAAATATGCAGTGAAGCTTGATGACTTTTATCTATTACAGAATAACACCTTATATGTATCGGATGTAATCCCACTTATGATAAGGAAGAGGGTTGGGCCAACATTTACAAATGGATAAAAGTTGATTAAAAACATTAAAGGAATCATACTGGATTGTATGAAAGACCAATTTAGTCTAATATTATGTTCTTACAGTAGCCAACTATGGAAGCCCTACAAGCAGGACATAAAGTACTGGGTTTCATCTTTTTAACTAGTCTTGCACTAGTTAAAAAACTGTAATGTTAAGCTGTTTTGTCACAGGAATCCTCCCTTTAGACAGAGCTCTCTCTATCTTGAAACACCCTATTTCTATAATTGTAGGTAGCTTTATGCGCATGATGTTGCAACCAGTTAAATTAGAAATTCTCGTATTAAAAAAGGTTGTGGGCTAATTGATGTTGAGTAATTTTTAATCTAGAAGGTATTATTTATTTGAATAAGAATAAAGATCATAAGGATCATGTAATAATAGTATCATTTAACATTTAACAATCAGTCTAGAGAAAGAATACAATAGTAACATTTTCAGTAATATGTGTTTGTATAATCAGTACAGGAAAAATACTCTGAAATTTTCACTTTCACATAATAACTTATGCAGAATTTTGGCACTACCGTTTAAAAAAAGTATAATCCCCAGCAGAAGAGCTATGGCCATGCATGAAATGCCCCCCCCCCCCAAAAAAAAAACCAAGCAGAGGAAGATAATCAGTCAATTACTACTTCAATTGAATATTTATGCAACTTTTGAGCCAAAACTGTGTTCTGTACAGTCCATGTAATGCTTTGCTCTAGATAGTCATGTAGGAATTATAAATTACTCTGGTTCTCTTAAAAAATGCAAATGCAAAATTGTTCCTATTTCCTCTGCCTAACCCCCAAATGCACATATTATCTCCATATCCAAAACAAATAAATAGATAAGGATGCAGATTTAAATTATACATTTTTATGATAAGTCAGGGATGAAAAAACAACCCCCCCACCACCACAAATTTAGGGATTCTAGCCTCAGTTTATTCAAAAAGAAAAAAGATTAGTCCATAAGAGATTTTTAAAAATCTTTTTAATACTTTAAAAATAGCCAGAATTGTTTAGCTTATAGCAGACAATATGGAAGTTAAGTATGTAGCACTGAGTGAGGAAACAGATTCAATGTTTCATCTGATTTCTAGACTCCAGAAATGATTCAGTGATCTATACCTTAATAGAACAGCCAATACATTATTATATGACTTCCATTTATTGATTATGTGCCATCAAGTCATGTTGATTCTTAACAATTACATAGATTGATCTTATCCAGAGTGATCTATGCCTAACTTGGCCCTTAAGGTCTTCCAACAGTGCACCAATTGAGCCCATCCATTTGCCTTTGGCCGACTTCTTTCCTTTCCTTCTACCTTTTTTGATATGTTATAATAGAACAACCCATGTAATGTTTTAAGAATTCCATTACACAACTGAAAAATTACAGATCAGCCTCCTGGTAAATTTAGTTTATTGAAAATAGTGGAAAGGATATTGAACATATTATGGAATTGCCACAAGATGTATTCAGTATGCACTGAATACTAGGAGTTGGGGAGCACCAGGAGTTGGGGAGCAATATTGGTGACAAATATTATTGTGGTTTCCTGCTTGTATTTTTCCAGAGCCATCTATTTAAGAACTCTGTAGAAGAAAATATTGGGTTAGAGCTCTGGCCCAATTCAGAATGATTTTCATATTTTCATAGGACTTAACTGCCACCCTGCAATGTGAATCTTGATGTATAGTTTTTAGTTAGAAGTTTTTATTGTTCTATACCCATGAACCTATGGCACATGTGCCAAAAGTGGCATGCAGAGCATCTCTCCAAGCACACCAGCCGTTGCCCATTGCTGTTCCAGGTTCCAGTGCATATTGGCCAGTTGGTCTTCATGCGCATATGCACATGTGAAGACTAGCTTGCCAGCACACATGCACGTTAGAAACCGGCCTGCCATCTGGTCGTTAGACGCTGAAAGACCAGGTGGCCGGTGCGCATGCACGCTCCGGGAGCTGCTCTTCCAGTTTTCGGCGCACACCTTTTGCCACTTTGTTCCTTTTGGGCACGTGTGCGCTCCCATTTCAGCACTCAGTGCCAAAAAGGTTAACCGCCACTGTTCTATACAGTGCATACAGTGGTACTTTTTCATAGGCATTTCTTTCCGCTGAGATCTGAATCTACTCTAGGAGATTTTTTTTCTATAAGTATCCACATTTCCACAAGAATCACATTGTTATGTTTAATGCATGGCTAACTGAAGGTATTTTGCATGCTCATCATAATGCAGTGTTGACTGAAAAATTTGCATGAAACTGTTAAAACTTGTTACAATTATACGATACCACGTGTATGTCACCAATGTTTCATGTAATAATATGATGCTTTATTTTACATCCTGTACCCAGACTGATATTAACAAATGTGCTCAAACTGTCAGTATATGTTATTGTCTTCTGTTGAAGTTCAATAATTACTATCCCCGGAAATTTGGGGAGGCTATTACCTACATACAACTTTGCAACTTGCTTATAAATACAGTATATTTAAGTATCTCACTTTTGCAGCTATTCTACTATAAAGGATGTTTCAGATTCTTTTACAAATAGATAATATGAGGGAGGAACTTATAATTCAACTCACATTCTGTTGCTCTGATACAGCTAAGCAATCATACATAGCATTCCAAGAAAAAATAGCTTTTTTATACAGTACTTATCAGTAGAGAAATAGCTTTATGTAATTTGAGGCATTTGCTGGAATTTGAGAACGCCAAGTAATACAGAGCAAGTACCTATATCTTAAAATGTATTATATCTTGCCCCGCCTAGGTGACCCAGAGTATTACACATTCCTTTCAGATTATATTAAGTATCTCATGTAGTTAGCAGTGTCTAGTACGACTCTGAACTGTTAGGTTTACTGATCTGAGTTTCTCAAATGTATGGTTCCAGTTTTGTTTCCTTCATCAACTGTTTGGTGCTTTCATCTGGACACTTCTGGAAGATATTAATATTTGCTATGAAAGTCACAACTTTTCATATCATAAGTTGATTCAGCTTCATTGTCAGCATGCATAAGCAAAAATAGCATCATTGATAATTAGAGAGAAAATACAATTTGGAAAATGAATGAAGAGCTGGTTGCAGCCCCGGCTCCTTCAAAAGTGTAATCAACACATAGGAAAAAAAATAGATCAGGAGAACTGTATTTTCCAGCTTTATCCCCGACATTTTTCTCAGTTCTTTCAGAGAGTGCTTAATCAGCTGAATTCCCACCAGCACAGAAAACTCATGTGCTCCATCTCTATATTTGGCTCAATATACTGCATGGTGCTGGAGATCATACGGTTGATTAGAGGCAAATAATCATTAAGCCAGCTAAGATTTTGGTGAGAACGGCACCAAATGCTGGAAGATCAGAAGTGTCAAAATGTTGTAAGATTTAACTATCTCATAAGAATTAATTATCTCATGAGATTTCAGCAATTTTTCAAAACGATTTACAGATGGTCCTTAAATTATGGCCATAATTGGGATTTACATAGCTAAGCAAGATGATTGTTAGATTGATTTTATACTCCCCCCCTCCCAAAGTTGTTAAGTGAATTACTACAGTTGTTAATTAAATCACGCAGTTATTAATCTGGTTTTTCCAATGATTTTGATGTCGAAAGTCAGCTGGGAAGGTTGCAAATGATGATCACATGACCATGCAATGCTGCAACTATTGTAAATACATACTGCTTCCCAAGCATCTGAATTTTGATCCTGTTACCATGGTGATGCTGTGGTTGTCATTTTTGGAGTGTGGTGCAACTTTGAATAGTCACTAAGCAAATGGTTGTGAGTCAAGAACTACCTATACATTTCTCCCCGTCCTTGCAAGATTTTATAATGCTACCATAAAAATTGCTCATCATGTTATTCTACTTGGCTGTTTATAGTGGAGCATCTTTTGAGTCCTATTTCTAGATCAATAACCTAGGTATTTTCCCATTTTGCTTAGTATAAATGAATGTACAGATCTACATATGTTTCTTACAATAATTAATATTCCTATGATAGTTTAAAGAAATTTTCCAAGAATTTCATTTGAAAGATGTGAT